TTGTTCATTGAAATAACAAACGTAATAAAGTGTAAATAATTAACACAACTTATTCGATATGCAGGTGCATGTGCAGATGTGAATATAAGTATAGCTTTTTTTATGAAACCAAGTGCCGGGAAGAACTAGTCGCCCACCTGGTGGTAAGCGAAACGCCTGTCGATAACAGTTGCAGTACCACTCGGTGCTTTAAATCACAAAGATCTGAGGGGCCACTGCCACTGCACCCATCACTCTGAGACATAAGGTGACAAGTCCTACGTGCTTGTAATTTCATCATTTTACAAATAAGAGTGTTTGTGCACTACGTTCGATTATCCGAGACACGACGATCCGAAATGTTTTAAGGATCATTCAAAGTCAAAGTCAAAGATTATTTATTCCATAGGTAAAATAAATTTACACTTGAAATCGTCACATTTAAGCTACTGCTCGTTCACTACGCTGACCTCCCTGAGAAGAACGTGCAAGAAACTCTAGTTTATTTGAAAAGAGCAATCTTTTCAAATACCAGTCTCCTTAAACTTTTCTCTGAGAGAAACCCGAGAGCCTAGACGGTACACAGAACGAATCGCTCGTTTTTGCATTTTATATATCGGTGTAAAAGCGATATTCGTATTTCCTCGAATTTGAATCGGACTTAGTGCACAAATGACACCCGAAATGGGTCCGAGTTTTCTAGATTTGTATATAGGAAATAAAACTATTTTTCCGGATTTAAATCGCGTATGTTTATTTTTTCAAACAAACCAACGTTTCGGGCCCTTTACACAGCTTGATTATGATTGCCTCTCCCAATTGGAAACTGCATCTCTTCCGAGTCGAGGCGCCTAATTGCGATTCACAACTGGCCGATTGGAAACTTTTGACATTTCAAATCGGAACAATAATTGATTTAACTCACAAATTAGAAAGATATAGTAGGAATCAGGTTCATCTTCTCGCTCGGAAACCCATCTGATTTGGAGACATCGAGTTATATACTCGATGTCTCCAAATCAGATGGGTTTCCGAGCCACCAGAAATAGAGACGATATGGCAGATATCATTACTGTGACAATTACGCTCGAAACAATTGACGGGTGTCGTCAACTATTTCACTTCAAATCGACCAGTTAACTTGAGCTTTGCTATAATAGACGAAAATTGTAAAATTACATATTTAATTACCGATGAAATGTGATTCCGTTTGTTTTGTAATTAGATGTTTTGCTGTTTTTCCCACACCACCGAATAGAAGGCATTGTTAGAGATTATTATCTTTATTACAAAAAATACAGAAAATTTTTTGGAATATACGGAGACGTACACACAGGTCAGTAGTTGGCCTGTTCTATATGTCAGTGCAAACGAGAGTTGATATTTACAAGAGCTGTATCGCTGTGTTACCAGGACTATATGGCCCTTATTTCGTCTCTATTTCTGGTTATAGTATACTTGATGTTTGGAGACTACTCGATTAATCAAAATCAGCATGCTAGTATGAGACCAAGTCACGGTTGACTCTGAGTTGAACATGAGAGTTTGAAAAAACAAATATACGCGATTGAAATCCGAAAAAGTTGCTTAATTTCCTGTCTGTAACAATCGCGAAAACCGAAACCCAATATAAATTTGTATAATTTAGGATTCCGAATGAATACAAATCGGATGCTGCGGATCTGATTAACTAAAATGACCTTAAGTAAGCAGCATCTACAGTACACATTTCAAAACACGAAGACAATTAATCCGACCTAAGTTTAGCAATCACGATTGTCCATTATGAACTCCTCAATTCTCACACCGTATACAAAGAAAACGAGGGTTGAACTGATTGCTTTGGCAATTTAATTAATCCAACTTACGAGACTACGACTTAAGACATTTTGTGGTTACTCATTATATTATTATTGCATGAAACAATAACTCTACATGACTCCTAATCTCCATACTACAGATCATAACTCTGAAAAAGTTACAATTGCGTCTTATATCTTATTTGACGCTGATCAATAATAGCCTGGAAGTTGTTTATATAGGGTTTTTCAACAAGAACTTTGTTTTGTAAATCAAAATTACGCAAATAAAATCAAAGTCACACACTACCGAAACAAAGAATTCATTGCAAACCAAATTTCTCGATCGCATAATTTCACGAAAATCAGCGGTTAAGTGGCCAGCTCGATCATGCGATTTAACACTACTGGATTATTTTTATCGGGTTATGTTAAAGACAGAGTCTATACGGAGCCAATCGAATCAATTACAGCCTTAAAACTCAAAATTCGTGAAGCGATTAACGGAACAGACCCACCATTTGGTCAAAAAGTGATCAAAAACTTTGATGAAAGAATCGACATCTGTAATCGTGGTCGTGGTGGACATTTATCAGATATAATTTTTCATTCATAATTGCCAAACCTAACTTTTTTAATACAATAAAAATATTGAATCATTGTCATCTAAATTTATTGTTTTATTTTGATTTACAAAACAAAGTTCTTGTTGAAAAAGCCTTTATTGTGTAAATGGTCGTGGATATTAATCAATTCCTCTTTAATGTGAAATATAAGTAGTTTTCCTTGTAATATTATTCAAATATTGACCATGAGCTGATATTATTTTCTGTACTTTGGCAAAAATATGAGAGTCAATAGATGACATATTTATAAATTAATGCTTTCTAATGTGGGTAGATGGAGTTAATCCTAAACAAAATAAAAGAATAACCGGCACTATATTGTTGTTGGCGCTGTCTATATTACAGTGCTAACGAGAGTTGATATTTATCACTGAATATCGATAAGTATCACTGATGAGTTACCAGGAATGCATTTCGTCTCTATTTCTGGTTATATACTCAATAGTTTATTTATACTCCACTCAAAAGTCAAATTGTACAAATTTCGAATGTCTTATATACATATCATGTGAACACTTAGATAGCGTGTTTCAAGATGCTAGTAACGTCAATAAGTGTCGACGCGCAGCCCTAAACTCCTGCAACATCACAAGAAATTTGAGTAGCTTTGATAAATTGCAGCTTGTATGTTGTCAATGTAAAACATTTTATTTTTATATAAATATTCACTAAAACCGAAAATTAACCTACTACTAAAACTAGCCTACATGAATTTGATTTTTGCCTCACTTGTGACAGTTCGTTTGATATGAAACTATCATTCTATGCGTTATTATTCTAAGCTAATAACGTCATCCAGTGACGACGCGCGGCCCTAAACTCCTGCAACATCACAAGAAATTTGAGTAGCTTTGATATA